TTACTCTATCTACTCTCTACTACTACTCTCTCTCTCTCTCCTCTCCTACTCCACGCTCTCTCTCTCTTCTCTCTCTCTCACTCTCTCTCTCCTCTCGTCTCTTCTCTCTCTCTCTCTTCTCTCTCTTCTCCTTTCTCTCTCTCTTTTTCTCTCTTTCTCCTCTTTCTCTTTCTCTCTCTTTCTCTATCCTAAATGCTATGATGGACCCGATATGACATGTATGCCTCTATTGGCATGGCGGGAGAGCTATGGAAACTACTTGAAACCAAGTACCTCATGGAAGAGTCTGGTAACAAAAGATTTATGACCTCTAATTTTTTAGATTTTAAATTCATTGAAAATATGCATATACTCTCTCTCAAGTATATAAGTTGCAGCTTGTAGCCAATGAACTTAAAGATTATGGTATTTTTTTAGATGAATATTTCCTAATAGGCTCAATAATTCATAAGTTACCCCTATCTTGGAGAGAGTACCAAAAGAATATGAAACACCAGAAAGTTGATCTTGATTTGGTACAACTTCGAAGATATCTTCGAATTGAATAAGAGAATAGACTTAGGGAAAAGAAAGATGAATCAATATATTTTCACTCCAAGGCAAACCTTATTGAGCAAAAATCAAATGCTCCATTTAACAAGAAGCCTTTTTTTTATAAGGTCCACAATGAAAATTATAAAGACCAAAAGTCTATTATCAACAAAAATAAAAAGAAAGCCACTTGTTATGTATGTGGAAAACGGGGACACTATTTAAGAGAGTGTCGACACTGGAAAAGGCTCAAAAGGCCTGGAAACTAAGTGAACTTGACCATTGGCAAAAAATTTGTAGCTATTGTAACTAAAGTAAACATGATTGATAAAGACAATGGATGGTGGGTCGATATCGGCGCTACCATTCATGTGTCTAACAATCGAGACATGTTTAAGACTTTCGAACCAGTGGGTGACTGTAACTCAGTTCAACTTGGAACCCAAGCTATAGCAAATATTCTTTGAAAGGGTACGGTGGATCTAAAGTTGAGTTTAGGCAAGGTACTCACCTTATAAAATATGTACTACGTACCTGACATGAGAAGAAACCTTGTTTCAGGATATATCTTGAACAAGAAGAGCTTTAAAATGATCATTGGATCTAACAAACTCATCAAGACTATAAATAGTGTATTTGTTGGCAAGGGATATTCATGTGATGTGATGTTTAAATTTGATCTTGTTAATGAAATGAATGTCTTTTGCATATATTGTGACTTCTTATAATATATGGACTAGGACATCTTAATTTTGCTTCTATTAAATATTTGGTTAAATTAGGATTAATTTCTAAATGTGATGAAGTAACTAAAGAAAAATGTGAATTATGTGTATAAGCTAAAATTGCTAGAAAATCATTTCCTTAAATGAAAGAAATAGTGAATTGCTAGAACTAATAGATAGTGATGTATGTGATCTAAATAATGTTCTAACTAGAGGAGGAAAAAGATATTTTATTACTTTTATTGATGATTTTTTTAGATTTTCTTATGTTTATTTGCCTAAACATAAAGATGAGGCTTTTAAAAAATTTAAAATTTTATGAGCGGAAGTTGAAAATAAACTTAGCAAGAAAATCAAAATTATTAAAACTGATAGATGAGGAGAATATTTATCGAATAACTTTAATGAATTATGTGAAAATAATGGCATTATTCATCAAGTAACTGTTCCTTATAGCCCTCAACAAAATGTGACTAGAGGAAAGAAAAATTAGGACTTTAGGTGAAATAGTAAATGCAATGGTTATCCCTTTTTATTTTCCATGAAATTTGTGCGCTAAAGCTTTATTATCTGCATGTTTTATTTTGAATAGAATTCCATATAAAAAGAGTGATAAGATCCCTTATAAGCTTTAGTTGGATAAAAAACCTTCTTTGAATTTTTTCAAAAGTGTGGGATTGTCTTGCATATGTTAGACTTCAAGATCCTAAAATAAATAAATTGGGTCCTAGAACATCTATTATTCTTCGTTGCAAGCATAACTTTATTTATTTAATGTTTTAATTTTATTAAAAAATAATTTATCTAATTTTATTAAAAAATAATTGTAAATTTATTTTATTAAAATATGATTATAAATTCATATTTCTAAATTCTGTATTTTTTTCGATACTAATTATCATATCTTAAATCTATTTGATTACAACATATACGTTTTGCTTGCTAAATTTCATATAGTGGGCATCTTCAGGGACATTTGGAGGTGAGAGTTTAAATGCCCGACAATGATGTGCTTCTGTCTTTTGTACCTACTCGTAACGAAAACATCTATAAGGTAGCGCCTTCTTTTTATAGTGTTAAGGTTAAAAATAGGCAACTTTTCCTGATATTTGGAGAGGATTTTATTTTATTTTATTTGAATAGTAATCATGAAGCAAAACTTTGGAAATGATTCAATTAATTCAAACATGAGGTTGTTTGCTTTCAAAAAGCTCTAAAAAAAAATTGGAATAATGAAATACAACCACCATGTCCGCCCTTGTCAATCTCTAAAGAGAGAAAGAGAAAAAGCCTAATGAAATAACTGGTTGAAAAAAAAACCAAAACTTGATCAACACGCATTTAAATAAGAAACAGTATTTCAATATTCACTTATTTTTATATTATAATGGAAATTCATAATGCATTACTCTTATTTTTTCTTCAAACTCAAATAGCAATATGTATAATAATTTTAGTAATTTTTGGAAATTTTTTAAGGCTAAATCTTGGAGATCTGGTCAATTCTTCGATCCAAATCACCAATCGACTGACCCGATCCAGTTTTTGGGATAAATGATCTGGATCACCGATCCTTTTTTTTCAAATCTTTCTCTTAAGCAATAAAAAAAAGTTTTATAGCTCAAAAATTCAAAATTGCTAAAAAAAATATGAAATGGAGTAGTGCTATATGTACTCCTCTGTCGTAGCGACTTTGGAAAGGTCCTAGCAGTGAGGACCACGAGGATCCAATCTATAGGTTGGACTACGATGGAGATAGAATGAGAACTACCATGCCCTTCCCCTTTCTCCCTCTTGATCATCATCCAAACTTTTATTGGATGATAATGTGATGATTCTCCTACCATGGCTTATGTTGTGTAATGGGAGTCGGCTTGGTGACGGGCCGGCCAGACCTGGGCCCCTATAGGATTGGCTCTGGTCCAGCCATGCCCAGAACGGGCCAAAGTGGCCACGGCTCAATCAGGGCCATGCTAGGCAGAGTAAAAAAAGAGAAATTAAAAAAATAAAAATAAAGGAAACCACAAGGCTGGACTAGGCGGTCCGATCATTGCTATGGTGGCCAGCCCAAGAGCAGCCCTCGGGCCATGTTTTGTGCCCCAAGCCCTATATTTTAGGACTGGGCCAATCGGGCTTGGCCAGCCACCCGGTTCATTTCCAGCCCTAAAATTTGGGAGTTGAAGATCAGGGGATACTTGTTGATAGGAGATGTCACCCCTCTTTCTCTCTCTCTCTCAAAATGTCCCCAAAAATCCATGAGGTACTTTAGTATAAAGTCTCTATGGATTTGAATTAATGGTAGACAAAGGGATTTATTACCTTGAGGCATTCGGCATTAAAGGCCTTGTTGGCCATCTTACGGTGGAAAGCCCATTTCTTCTGTATGTTAGTGGATGCGAGCCCATCTCCCAATAGCTTTTCGATTATTGGATTCCGGTCTGGTTTTCGGTAGTCCCAACTCTTGTTGTTGAGTATCTCCTTTATTAGCTCTGGCTCTCTGATAAATAGCTGAGGTTTTGGGCCTACCCAGCTCAAAAAAGTATCCCCTGCAATTATTCAAAGAAACCCAAAATCATCAATCATAGTTGAGCAACATTGTAGATAGTTGTCGTGTTTTTCGTTTTGGATAGATGTGGGGAATATAGGACCCTACCCGTTTTTGAAATAAATAGTTAGTGGATTTCAAATGCGTCAGTGGGAATAGAAACCTAAACGAGAATAACTGGGTTGATATTTCTTTTGTTTGCTTTAGTATTTCTTTTGTATCCAATAGAGCGATTACCATAGATTTTGGTCCAAGTGTATATGTAAGGCTGGACTTTTGAAAAGGTGTCATGAGAGAGATCCATTGGTTTTGCAATTGCTTCCCTCATCATCAGCTCCACTTCCTTGTTGTTTCCATGGAGAAATTTGTATGGGGGTCCTCTAATTCCCTGCTTCTCCATCAATCTGCTTATCTTAAGAGGAACCCACCACACTTTTACCACAAATTCAATCAATTTCAATAGCAACAATAATACTAATAATAAGCATAATAACTTAGAAATATGCAACACCAGGATTGTCTTCTCCATGAGTCTCCTTAATGCCACATTACCAACTTTTGAACTTCATTTTATAAACAGGATTTTGGCTTCGAATTTGAGCGGACTTCGATAACTTCGATGAAATCCAGTGATGGGAGTTGGAACGTTCTTCCTTTATTAAAAATAAGTGTTAAGCTAGCAAATATACTGTGCTTCCATGGGAGCTTCTTGTACATTTACACCCTCCATTGAAAGTTAGGGTTCTACATTTTTGTATTACAACTTGTCCAGACTTGGTTATGTCCCTTGTAGACTCAGCCCAAACTATACTTGGGACCCTACAAAAGCTGCTTAATATGAATATGAATTTTCGAATTCCCCTAAGACTCGCATCGGGGATATTTTTTCCAACTGAAATTTTTGAAATCGTTGTCATGGAGGTTGCATATGCACAATATTCATGAGCCTAGGAATACTCTTCCGATTCGGCTACCTGATGGAATAAACGGAGGAAATGTTCCTGCGGGAGCATAGAATCTTTATAACGTTTGTTTAGTAATAAAGTGGAAAATTACATGGTATGGCGTCTTACGGCTTGGAGTTTTGGAAATGGAGTGAGCAGATACCATCCATCTATTATGTCAGGATGAAAACTTTGGGGGAATTTTTTTTAATAGAAAATTTTTCCCTAAAAATGGGCTATGTAATTAGTTTTCAAATGAAAAAAATTGAATTTGAAGTTCATCTAACATTTAAAAAACATTTGGGGTTTCTATTCATTATTTATTTTCTTTGAAGTGCATATGGAGTGCAGTTTCGATTTTTTACTTCAAAAAGTCAGTTTATGGTTTTTGAGATGTTATATCCACAAAATTTGGAATCTTAATTGCTTTTCTAGATAGAATTTTCCCGAGGGAGTAAATGTATAATATATGCTCCAATGGGAGCATAAAATCTTTTGGGTTTTGGAATTTCTTGGGCTTTTGAAAGCTTCTCCGTGCAACTTTCGGTTTCGACACCTCTTTTTGGAGGCTTCTCCATCTAGCATTCGGTTACGACATGATTTACTTTGGGGGAGTCCCACTACTCAATAGTAAAGTCGTCATTGTAACATTTTTTTTAACTATTTGGAATTGATTATACAAATCATAATCCGTCATGTGTGACTATAACTCATCATATCTTTTTTTACAGCTTCCAACCAAATTCAACTATGGTCGGATAAACTGTAAATATCAAAATATCTGCTCAGTTATCAGAAGGAGGAGGTTAGACAGAGAAACTTTTCAATGTAAACTTGTTAATGTCCGGACACTTAAACAGAAAAAAATAATCAGCCTAAATGGAGTAAAGGACTTGTAGTTTTGAGTTCTCTAATGAAAGCATTAGAACAGGGAATTTCATATCACACTCTGCAACTCACCAGTCCTAAGAAGAACGAATATTGGCTTCAATAATGACATAAAAGATAAAGGGGACAAAATATTAAAAAATGTCGATAATGTTTTTGGGTTCCGTATATGATTGACCTAGGGAGATGAATAGATTGAGTCATTCAAGAGCATGAGATCCCCACTTCAACGTAAAAAAGAGTAAAACTTCTAATTTATTGAAGGAAAAGGTTTCGTATATTTTTTCTATAGCATAGAAGATCTATGCTTCCCCTACCATCCAGCCGTCCAATTTTGATTAAGAGAGCGACTCACCGTTTGATCTTAGATCAGATGTCTCAAAGTATTTTATTTTTAGTTTTTCTTATACATATGGTATGAATATGAAATTTGGTACGTGTCATCTTCTCATTGGGTCGTACCTATAAAAAATATTAAAAATAAAGTTTCAATAAAATATAATGACCAAAATACTCTTTGAAACTTTTAGTGGTATTTTGGTCATTTTATTTTATTAGAAATATTTTTTTTATATTTTTTGCTAGTGCGAGTTTAATAGAGGATTGGACATACACAATTTGGTGTCCAAATAATTTATAAAAAAAAATGAAAAACAAAATAGTGTAGAGACGTGACATTGTGATTGGGGCAATCTTAACCCTCTACTCAAAATAGACGGTTGGATAAGGGGAAGTATACAAGTTTTATGTTGTAGGGGCAGCAAAGCGTGTCATTTATTGAAAACAAGAGATTCTCGAACACATAAATTTCATCATAGAAGAACGTACATGAGTGGAAAAAGAAAAGATGGACAGGTTGAGCAGGTAAAGGAAAACAGGAAGGACAACAACTATAAAGAGACTGAGAGATTTGATGGAATCATTGAGCTACAAATTTTGCAGGAAATGAGAGCGAAACAGATTGACAGCAGGTAACCATGTCGATTGAGAATGATGACTGCAAGGTTAGGGTTGATAGTGTAGTTTGTTCTGTTTTTGAAGATGACGTTGGTGCCTTCAAAGATGCATGGAGACGTGCTGTTAGGATGGTGGTATGATCTTTTTCTCCCCCATCAAATGATCTATTTGGTCTTGGTTTAGGGGACTGGCTAGATGTGCCTAGAGTTAAACCTATTTCCCATCTATCACAAAATTTGCTAGGGTGATCTTTGTTCTTAAGACCAAGGAGGAAGTTACGAAGGTAATGGTCTATAAGCACCGGAGAGTGTGGGGGAAATTTATTATTTTCATTTTAACTCTTTTTCAATTAATTGGGGTAGGCTATATGAATTTTGGTTCTCCCTTTTATCGAGATTTTACATTGGTTGCCTACCTAACACAACCATACCCTTTTACCCGGATATGGGATGGGCAAAATTTTACTTTGGAAGCCTGTTTTTGTTTTTCATATGCTGTTAGTTCCAAAAGTACGGTGTTGGCTTAGTTTTTGGGTAGTGCCTTTCGAAGCGTGAAATTTTGGTATCTTCCAGAAGCTGGTTGGTTTTATGTGGAGAGCAGTATTTTGAAACACAACTTGGCCAACGTACTCAGAACTTGGCTGAGGCTAGTTTTTCGGGCGAGTCAGAGTAGCTCGCCGGAATTCAACTCTATTTAAACAAATGTGAAAACAAGCTTTCTTAACACGAAGGGGTCTTGGGTTCGATTCTTTAATTCTTAACACGTGAAAATAAGCTTTATTAGAAGCATGTATTTTGCTTTTTAAGCATAGAAAAGTCCAACTAGATCAGCCGATCAGTGCTCCGATTTTTCTTGAAAAATACAATTTTAGTAAAAAATCCTAAAAAATATTCAAAAATTCCCAAAAGGATTGTAAAAAATATTTAAAATTTACAAGTATTTTTTTTTTATATTGTCACATAAAGAAAGCAAAAAAATAATAATTATAAGCATAATTGGGTTTCGGAAAATATGATGAGGCACATGAAACAATACCTTTTCAGTGATCAATATGTAATTAATATTAATTTTATATCTTATATATAATATGTAATTAATATATACTATATAATATAAATTACATTAATAAAATAAATATAAATATATAATATATAATAATATAATATTATAAAATAGTATAATATTTCATCTCAAGACCATGTTTGTTTTTTTGGGTATTTTGGAATTCAATTAAAAATGGGTGTAGTTTGTATAAGAATGCAACCTCAAACAATCTAAGGCATAACATGTAATTTTTGTGTAAAATTTTTTTAGGATTATCTGAAAATCTATTTTCATCTCTAATTATACAATTTTAAACTCTAAAAATGGTTAAAATCAAGTAGATATATAAGCATATGAAAATCTTGAAAATGCACGGTCTAGATAATGTGTTGCAAGATGCACTATTTCACGAACTGAAAATATTTTATTTATATATATATATATATATATATATATAT